ACATCCCCATGTGGAGATGTTTGATTGGTGGTTGGCTCCATAAGGGAGCCAACCATTGGCTCCATAGCATTATTGTATATATATATATATATATATATAATTTGAAACAACAAAGCATTAAATTATATTACCTAGCATTTAATTATATTATCCCTCCAAAATTTTCAGCATTAAATTATATTATCCCTCCAAACTTTTCAGCATTTAATCATATATTCTATTATATTGAAACGGTTATCTTCTATTTTTGAATTAAATTACATCCTCAAATCATGCACTTTATTTGAGCTTTTGGACATAAAACGTGTAAGCATTGATATATATAATCATTTTATTGGCAAATATAAAAAATAAATCAAATTACAAAAATTACATATTTAAATTGAAATAAATCAATCTCCAATCTGTTGTTGCTATTGTACTTGCAAAATAACATTAAATAAATTAACAAATGAAATATTAGCTATTATTATTAAATGTCATACTCTCACTTTAAATAACAATTATTATAAAATGTGATATCATTAAACAAAAGCAACAATTAACAAAAAAAATTAAAAAAAATTACCCTAATTTGTAGTATACATCACACTATCATAACATCATGTTATAATCATACAATTAATATTATATACACGTGGGTGGAGAAATCATGTCATTATATATATTTAATCTATTTTCTTTGTTCTAATGTCTTAAATAATGAATAAAAAACGTGTGAATTAATTCTTCATAATATAATTTACTTTATTCCTAAAGCTGAAATATATTTCCTTTTTGTTTTTAATTTTTTTTTGCAAAAATACATATACTTTTAAAAATTCAAAATCTGCTATCAAACATCTTTGAATGTTGTATTCAAAATTTGCTGTCAAACACATAATCATGCATGGTGTCCTATGCTATGACAATCAACAAGAGTCATGACCAGTCTCTCTCACACGTCAGTTTAATCTTGAAGAACCCTGTTTCCAGTCATTGACAGTTGTACGTGGCTCTTTCTATAGCCACAAATCGGAAGAGTTTGAAGATAATGATATGTGGTGATGTGATTCCGACGGTTGGAAAACCTTGAATGTTATATACAAAGAAGCGTTTAATAATATTTAGAATCATTTTCTTAATTCATATTTTTTTTAATTAAATCATGATTTTATATATTTTTTTTTTATATTCGTAACTCTTATAATTATTCTCTTCCGTGCAAATGCACGGGTTGATTACTAGTATATAGCTAATAGTGAGTCTTTCTTAGTTGGATTTGAAATCTACCACAGTTAATCAGAATGATACTTAAATTAAGAAATCTAAACCCGTTGTGTTATGCTTTGATAGATTTCATTAAGTTAAGATTTGTTATAATGAAACTGTCATAATTAGACTTAATTTAAGTAAAATAAATTGTTAAGTAAAATTAATCCTTTTAATACCAAGGTTCTCAGAATCGATTCAGTCAAAGTACTTTGTTTAATGCTGCATGTTCATCTTGGATAATTAGATAAGGGGTAATATTGTAGCTATTATTTTATTTACAGACTCCTTTTTATTCAATTGAAAAAAATATGCCAATGAAAATTAACATATTCTGATATTCATCTAAGGCCATTAATTGGCGAGTTCTTATTCAGAACTTACCAACTCTTTATTATTATTATTATTATTATTATTATTATTATTATTATTATTATTATTATTATTATTATTATTATTTTGTTTTTATTTATTTATTTATTTTTATTATTATTATTATTATTTTTTTTTGGGTAGTCAAATAACAATAATAGGTGGCTACTAACTGCGTGGACAAAACTAGCCTACCTCATTTATACAATAATGTATCGGGCTTTTCCAACTAAGGAAAATTTTAAGCACGCTGCAAAAGAAATTATTAATATGAACCTTTCTAGGGGAATAAAATGGTATATATATATATATAATATATAGTTTGATTTGAAACAAATTGACGTTAATTGGCTATTTGGATTGCGCTTCGTTGAAAGACGACGAAATGTCGCTTAAGCAAAGTCACGGGTTCAAGTTCTCGTGAATACAGAAAATCTTTGATGGGAGACTTACTCACCACTGTTCAACGTGCGACTGAGTCGACCAACGAATTAGTCAGGTACAATTCTGGATACTTGCTACCAAAAAAAAAAAAAGACGACGATGAATGTCTTTATATTGACATTAGCGAAAGGATACACGTAGTTATCATTCACCATGAAAAGATTCTTTCTTTGACAAATAGTAAGAGAAAATAATTATTGTCTGTTTGTTTGATTATGTTTTGGATATCATTATGTAGAAAATTCAAAATTAGTTAATCGGTTTTTGTGGGGGAATGTCGGGCTTATCTTGTTTGAAGAATTGGATGGAATGGGCGGACAAGGGGTTGAGAATGTCAGCTTTCCTATACTACTTGGGATATGTTTGGTAGGACATGAAAAATTAGTTACTACTATAAGGTCGGTAAGAGTTTATCGGTTTTGCTATAAAGTTAACAGTTAACTTTATAATTGAGTCAACCTTCTATATACAATAAATAAACCTACCATATTAATAAAATTATATTGTGGTGTTATTTAAATAATCAAAAAATATGATAGGTTTACTTGTTGTATATAGAAAGTTGACTCTGTTATGGACATGAGCGAATGTACATGTTGTTATAGGGGGGCAATTGCCCCCCCACAAATTTTATTTTTTTACTATTAGTATTACAAATTTTTATTTGCCCCCCTTTGAATTTATTTTTGCACCCCTTGATTTTTGTTTTTAAACGTCACTCATCAGACCAACTTGTCTACAATTGTCATTTAATAATTCAACACTTTTTTTTATTTTACTATTAATTTTATATATTAATTATTATCTTTCTACAATTTTGATTGACCCATATAAAAGACTTCAACGCTCTTTTGCCTAGACTAGAACTGATATTTTTTGTCCGAAAAAATCAAAAATCGAACCGAACCGATGAGAAATAGACCAAACCGAACCGACGTATGTGTAAGTGTAACCAAAAATCAGTTACCAAAATGTTATCAGTTCGGTATCGGTTCTGAATTCATTATGTCATGTCTTTTGCCCCCTATTAACTAATTTTCTGGTTTCGCCCCTGGTTATGGAGCCAATTGTTGACTTCATAATAAAATCAAAGAGCCTATAATGGATTTTGATTTGAGTTTATAACTGATGACGTGACCGATATATTAAAAATGTTTAATAAAATTTAATAATAAGTAAGTTGAAATAAAAATTCTAGAAAGTTATCTATTTGTTAGATGCAGGATTAATTTTTGTCTTTTTTATTTTTTATTTGTTCGGTCAACTGAACAGCGACTCAAACATTTCATTTAGTTTCATTTTTCTCTAACTGATAAGCAATTCACATATTTATAATATATCAATTTCATAATTCAATGTTTTTTATATTACATCAAATTAAATCTTAGTTGCTACATGATTAATTTATATCCATATCTCAAGTTTACTTTTCTTATAAATAAAAATTTCACCTTTTTCGTATTATTGAAAGATAATTTATTTTATTAATTTTTTATCCTATTGAAGATATATATTTTTAATTTATTTTATTAAATTTTTATCTTATTGAAGATATATTTTCTTTTTCTTAAATAAGTCCATTGTCCGACTGCGATTAGTAGTCTTATATTGGATACTTTTGTAGAAAATTTTCTAATCATTAGAATCATTGGCATCATTTTGAATTTTTGATTGAGCTCTAGTTTTCATATGACAATGATAATGTTCACGGGAACCTTGAATATATGAGAGAAAAATACAAGGTACTGCTATTAATATGGATTATTAATTATTAATGTACTTTATATTTTATACATAATGATGGCTGCATAATAATTGTAATTTATATGGTTTATTCTACTTTTATTTTATATAAACTAGTATGTACCCCATGCAATGCACGGGACATAGATATTAAATAAATTATTTTCAGATGACTCTGTTCGTTTAAGTCTAAAAATCAATAGGGTTATCATATATTTTTCACTTGTATATTAGGGCTAGCTTGTAAAGTAATTAATATATTATCTATACATATTTAATTCTTTTTTTTATCGGTTATACATATTTATTTTTAATTTGAAAAAAAAAGGTTTGACCAGTTGAGTATTAAATCAGCACTAATTAATTTATTAAGCAAGTAAAGACGCGAAGCAAGACAATCTAATTATCCAACAATTTAGGGTAATATATAGTTATTTCCTTTATTAAACATGATTTTTAAAAATAAAATAACATCATCCCCAAATAATAGGCAACATTCATGGTTTTGTTGAAAACCAAAATAACAAAATCCTTAATTAATGGGTAGCATTTAATGCTACTTTTTTTATTAAATAAAAAAGAAAAGAAAAATTACTAAGGATGGAATGTAATTAATGCAAAATGATTTTGACCAAAATTTGTCCTGCTATTTTTTAAAAATAGTAAATCTTTTTATATATATATAGATTTCTTATTAATATAAATCATTCTAGGTTCATACTTGTTACTTTTATATATATATAAATAAATAAAATGATCCAATAATCACCATTATGCATTATGATAAATTCTCAAATAGCACCACACAAAAGCAACCCCATGCATGCACCAATTAATCAAAGACAATAGCCCAACAATAATAGGAGGAAAAAAAATAAAAATGAAAAATATAGAAAAAAAATTAGAAATAAATTGAAATTAAATTAAACAGAGTCCCAACTGATAACTAATTAATTAACGGCAGAGCAGACCCTTCTGATCTGGCCGTCCGTCCCCGTAAGCACCCCAATCTTCCCCATCTTCACCATTGACTCGGCAAAATCGGCGAAAAAACTCGGGTTATCGAACCACGTCGAGTGCTGCTGCAAGTACGCCCTCGTCTCGTCGTTCTTCAGAAGCTCTGCGTCTGATGTGAACAGCCCCCTCATTCTCCCCACTGTCGAGAAGTAGTCCGTGTCGAAGTCGATGGAGCTGCCGGGGTCCATCGGGACTACGGTGGTCGTGTCTGTAGGGGAGCATCGCCTCTTGAGGGCAGCCACGTATGCGGGATCCATGCTCGGGTCCGCGTCGTTGTTGCCCGTGAAGTTGTACAGACGGTTCGTGAAGCTCGAGCAGTGAGAAACACCGATCGTGTGCCCACCTGTCCACGAATTATTTTTACATTTGTTATTTGGTTATAAAATCAATTCATTGTAAATTAAATACAAAACGGCAAAATATGATCAGTAACTTAACGAGTATGTGACATTTTTTTTTTTTTTTTTTCAATAACGTTTTGCGATTGAAGAAAATGTTCATTAACGAATCAAAATTTCGAAAATTAAACTGCCGCCTTCTTTCTACAAGTAGTTAGAGCGTATATTCACCTGAGAGGACAACGAGGTCCTTGACGCTTAAACCCTTGCCCGTGAAACTGGCAATGAGCTGGGTGATGTTGAAGAAAGGAGCCGGCAGATTCGCTAGCGCCTCATTCGCAATCGACACATTTCCATCTCGTCGGCCTAAGGGAACTTCCCAAGATGGCCCGTGTATCTTTGACAACAAAAATGCTACGCATGTTAGCTATCTAAATTCACCACAACAAGTACATTATGCATATTCATATTTCGAAATTGTACTATAATGGGTTTCCATGATAAATATATATATATATATAGTAGCCTAAACAATAATCAGCACGCGGAATTACCTGTGAAACTGCATCGCGAGCCACTAATGCCAGGATATCGGCACATGAAACTTTTCTGGGGCAATACTTTTCGACTTCAGACTTCACGGCATCAATGACTTGAAACCCTCTAAGGCTGCGGTTCGGAATCGAGTCCTTCTCGGCCGTGTTGTTAGCCGTGGAGTTTAGTAGTACGGATCCATCACAACCCTGCCACATTGATCAATATATAGTTGGTCTGGAAAGTTAGAAAGAAAAAAGTGGAGAATTAGTCCGGTAAGTGACACTGAGTTCAGAAATAGTCCTGTGGTTGCGTTGATTTTACAAAACACACCCCGTAATTACAAAAAAAAAATTACTTTTAATCCTTCAACTAGCAAAAGCCGGTCAATTTGATCGGTTGATGAGTTGGATATTTTAGTCGGCTGTCACGTATATCAAAAAAAAAATGAAAAACAATATCCACGTCAGCAACCGATCACATGGATCGGCTTTTGCTCGTGGAAAGACTAAAAATCAGTTTTATATTACAGTTATAGGGTGTTTTGAAAAGTCAACGTAATCGCCAGACAATTTATCAATTAATTAATTACAACTTACAAGACTAGATCTCCAATTTTTCCAAAGTTGAAACACACGATAAATACGCAATACTTTCACGAAAGAAAGAAAGAAAGAAAGATAAAAGGCGAAAAAAAAGAACTAAGAAAGATTTACCCTAACGAAACAATCATGGAAATGCATCCGAAGCAAAGCCGGAGCAAGTGATGGATTGGGAGAAACGAATAACGCGGTCGTTTGTTTCACGATAGCCTCAACATTCGGGCACGACGTATCATAAAAATCGGTCGACAGGTCTGCGGCCCCGGCCCGAAGAACAAAGACAAGCGCGAAGCAAATAACAAATAGCTTCGGAGTTGCCATAGCAATATATTGTTAATTACTACTTAACAATAGAAGACTTGAGTAGGGCTATGTGTGCTAATGGGGAGATGAGAAGCTCTTTAAATAGTAAAGAGTATCTGTAAATGCAATTGTTATTGTTATCAACAACCGTTTTTTTGACTAATAAACTTAATTATAACATGTCGAGACTAGAAATGCTCTCCTACCCACGGTGGGCACATGTTAATATGCCTACCGCGTAGGTGACATGCATTCATTGGTGATAAATTTTTTTAAACATATTAACATCACCAATGAGTGGATGCCACCCACGCGGTGAACATATTAACATGTGGCCACCGTGGGTAGGTGAGCATTTCTGCATGTGAGACAGGGTGTTAATCATATTGGTACTAAAGATTTGTGATAACTTGTGCCCATGTCTACAATATTTATGCGGGTAAGTACTTTATTTAATTCATCGTGTATTTGACTATTACTCGTTGAAAACAATAAAAAAATTCAACAAACTATATACAGAATATAAAAAATGTGATATCACAAATATTTTATGAACACATGGAACCCATTTTACGATATTGTATAGATGTTATGAAAAATTGAAAGTGTAATATATGATAAATAATATTAAATCATGTTATATATTAATATAAATTAATAATTGATGATGTAATGTTTAGAAGCCATTTTATACGACACCATTTTTCATTTTTCATTCTCTTAATTTGTACTCTATTTTTCCTTGTTCATTCTCTTAATTTTTTCTCCACGTTTTTTTTCTCTTATTATTTTATTTCTCCATGTTATTCGGCAAGAAAATGACCAAATTAAGTTCAACACCAATTTCATTTGATAAATATTTCAAATCGATCACTTGTTTGGAATTTTCAACACCTGCAATATCACTACAAGAAAATGATAAAATTATTACGAAAAAATTCAATAAAAATATATTTCTAATCAAATTATAATGACAATTCTAATGAATATTATTTTAATACTATTATTTTCGTTAGAATTTCAATAATAACAAATGGAAATTTCAACAAAAATATTCTGATAGAGTGAATTTTTTATTGGAATTTTAGTAAGACTAACGATTGAAATATGAGTGGAAATAAAAATTACAATAGAAATTGAATATTCCAACCAAAATTTATATCGTATTAAACCGTTGAAAAAATGGTCTTTGGAATCATCAACATCTGTCTAAAATTCTAATGGAAAACTAATCTCGACGGAATATTTTTGTCGGAATCATTTCAACGATATACTATTGAAATATCCATTTGAATTTTCATTGAAATATAGTGGCGTTAGATTTTTCGTTAGAATATGACAATTTTGTAGTGTATTTTCGATGGAGCTGCCGGGGTCCATCTGACTATGGTGGTCTTTTCCGTAGGGGAACACTGCCTCTTGAGTGCCCCCACGTAGTTCGGGTCCATGCTTGTGTCGGAGTCATTCGTTCCCTTGAAGTTGTACAGTCGGTTCGTGAAACACGAGCAGTGCGAAACCCCAATCGTGTGAACTTGTCCACCAAATTTCATTTAAAAAAATATTACAATTAACTAATTTGGATTAATCAATCACAAACGAACAAAAAAAAAAAAA